GCAATCCGTGCCTATTGGAACGGATTAACCGGTTTTCAATGCATTCCTATGGAAAATGGTGTTTTGCATAACGATGTTTCATATAACTTTTTTTTGGAACCAATTAAAATCGTTATGCGAGGCACCACTTGTACAGTATTTTGAAAGAAACACCAAAGCCTCCTGAATCATTTCTGTCACTCATAGAGAGGGCACTGTTTCATTCTTTGTTCCATTTTTTAAAAAATTCACTTCCCAATTCAGATGGCAAATCATTTTTAATTCATTTATATTCCTCTATATAGAAGTCTGCAAACTTAGCTCATCTGGGTACTACTGTTGAGAAATTATTGACATAAGATACTGCCACAGAAGATGCTTTTCAATGATTATAAGTCCATCAACTACAAATTTCACTTAGGACACTTTAAAGATTCATAAGCTAAAGTGGACTGTTCTGATTATACAATGGGTTTCAATTCAGTCTGCTGCAACATGGCTTTCTAATACACGCCAACTCCAGAAATAGTGTTCAGCAAGATAACTATTGAGATAAAACGCAGTCAAAATATTTTTTTTCTTAGCAATTATAATCTGTCTCCAGCTCAGAAGAAATGAGATACTTTCAGCAGTTAAAATCCTGGAAATGTTCACAGGGGCAGGGAAAGGTTTGCTACTGTGACCATAAATATACCAAGTTTCAATCTCAATTATATTTTCAAATAAAGTAATGGGAAGAGAGGAAACTACTTTCATTGATAATCACTATCCAAATTCTATCTTTTTTAAAATCTAAAATAATGTACTTGTAATAGCCATGGGGTATATATAACAGATATTTTTCCATCTCTCTTCAAGAATAACTCATTTTATAACATTCATATCACATGTTTACAGCTAGCAAAAAGCAGGGCTTCATGCAACAGTTCCTTATTAACATACTTCCTTGTGCAAATCATGTCCAAACTCATGTTAATGAAGCACACATTTCTTGTTTTACACTACCTTTTTAAGAATCTATTCACAGGCCTCCACAAGTCCACTCATTATAGGCAAGGTCCCTGTTCTATGCTACTTGAGATCTCTAGCTGGAATAAGTTTGTCCTGTCGTGCTTTTAAGGGTGGGGAACAAGCAGAAGCAGAGTAATTGACTCACAGCTTTCACATTTTCCAGCTCTCCCTTGGCCTGATATAAAAGAGCTCCCTCACCTGTCCCCCACCTTCTTTTGCATTTAATTATCTTTATTCATACTTAGTTTTATTTTATTCATTATTAAAGGCTGAAACGAAATAAGATTTACTTGTATTTTTTCTGTATTTCTATAGAAATTGTCTTACAGGTGTGACTGAATGAAACACAATATACATTTTATCAGTAAGATAAAGTGGTATCTGTAAATAGAGGTGTTTGTGTTTTGACAGTGTTTCTGCTCTGTAAACAATGGATACAAATAACTTCATCTAATTATATGCTGGAATATAAAGCATACAGTGTTCTAGCAGGTTAAAGACAAAAGTGCAATGTTTATACTATTTGGTTTGCCAACTGCACAGAACAATGCTTTGCCTCTTTTTATTCCTACATACAAACACACCTATAAAAATAACTAAGATTAAATCTTCACTTTAACTTAGCAAGGCTTGTAAGAATCAAGGTTTCCCCTTTTCAGCTAAAGACACCTGCTTATAAGTAACTGCTTCCTCAGTATTCAAAACAGAGATATCCAAGCAATTCAAGAATTATTTGTGGCTAGAAGGTAGATCAATTAAGTTTATATACTACTCTTTTATTCTGTAGTTTTAAGCTGTTGCAAAGAATGCTCCTGCGATATTATAAATGTAAAGTGTTTGCTTAAGTAAAAATAGGGCATTTAAAACTCAGTTATCTTATTTTTTTATTTATTTGCTTAAATTTTAATTAAATCAAGTAAAGCTACTACTCATTATTGTAAAGAAAGATCATTTTAACTATTTTCACTTATCACAAAATTGTCTGAAAAATAAACATACATGCCCAAACATGCACCTACTGGTTGAACAGAACGTGCAGTTCTATCTGCAACTATCACTTCTGTCACACCACTGCAGCCCCCTGTATCCCATAAACCAATCTAAAATGATCCCCTAGAATGGTATGATGTGACATACAGAGGATCTGAATACAGCGAAGCCGACACCAGAATCAAGGGTTGCTACATGAATGCTAGGTCCTTTCTATTGCCACAATACACCTTTGGATTATAAAGCCTGATACTTAACAGCTCACACAACTCACTCTGCTGCTTTTAGAAAATACATTGCTCAACATTTGGATAAAGCCAAAATACAAACAGATGACAAGAATTTTACTGATCACAGCACTGATGTGTTCATATACACATCCTCAAGGCTCAACTGAAAGAGCCAGTACGTTGCAAGACATATGAACACAATGCCTCCTACTCCAAACAAATTATGCATTCTCATAATAGTGTTCCCTGTAAATAAAAAATATGCATTAAACTAAAAATCAGCAGTCAATCCAGGAATCACTAAATATTGGCTGTACGATTTGCCTTTAAGGCATCAGCTGGCACTGTATGAATGCTGTTGACCTTCTCTCCTTCCACAGAATGTTGACATAGTGAGGGGAGAAGCTGTTAATGATAGAGCAGTCAAAGAACAAGAGGAATAAATATTTTTTGTGGTCCTGCTATACAGCTACATGGGGAGAGACACGAGTCTTTTTAAAAAAGACAATCAGTACAAATTATAGAAGTAGCATCCCCTATAAACAAGGCATAATCCAACAGGAAAATTTAAAATGTGAATTACTGCTAACTAATGAATTGACTTCCCTGGCAATTTTATTGCTCATCTATACTTTGATACTTATGTTTTGCCTATACAGCTTCAGATTTTACATCAGTGGAAACCGTTTTCACTGCAAGGCATTAAACTAACCTTGACAGACCAGAACATTTAACAGTATCCTAAATTTCTCGCTTCCCTAGTCTCTTGGAATTAATGCAATCCAGATTTCAAATATTCTGCACTTTCACAATAACATGTGAAGCCCCAAATTAGTCTTAATTCTTGCAAATAATTATATTCCCCTCCAGTGATGGTGTGGGGACCCTGCATTCCTGGACTTCAACCTTCATCAACCCCAGGCAACATGTTAGTGATTAGTGATGATGGTGAATTGCCCAACAACTTCTGGAGGGTTACAGATTCCCTACACCTACTCAAATTCCAAGTGAACTAGGAGTTTTGTGTTTTTCTGCAAAATGGTTATAAAGCAATCTGGGAAACAAGCTTATTACATATGAAATCAATTGGCAAAAGAGATATAACTTTAAGGCTGCAAGACATTCAAAATGACTACAGTTGTATGCCATGAAACTACTTTTATGGGCATGCAATTACTTCCCCTGGTCCAATAGTAATACTATACAGTACTAGTTTTATGCAGAGGTCTGAACCAAAGCAGGGAAATGTTGGCTGTTCTGCAATTTCTCATTAACCTTTACCACTGCAAATGTTCACTGAAGCTTCTGGTTGTTACGGCTGGAAGGCAAATGGAGGGCAAATGTTCCCCACTCCAGCCTCTACTTTACAGATTGTTTCATAAGGAACCAGAAGAATATGAAAAAAGACCAGGCACCATAGGCTCTAATTGATAAACCTAAAATTAACACTGTTGCTAGACATAACTACTGTAAGCAAACTGATCACAATAAATTCACTGAAGTTTTCTAGGTCATGCTGTACTGCACAATCATAAAACAGAAAACATTCTCCTCTGCTAATGGAATCCAACATTAAAAAACTCAACTTTTTTTTCTTTCAAAAGCAGGACTGCTAGCTGCTTTTTTCCTGCCTTTGAGCTATGAAGAAGCTTTTGCTCAGGCCTGAACATTTTCAGTCCATCTTTAAATAAATGTGATAGCTAAGTGAAGAAAAGTTTTCCAGTTTTCTGCCTATATGTACTTACATGAAAATCACAGGTTTAGAATACCTTATAACAAAACTTCTTGAAGACAGAAAAGGCTGGCTATAAATGTACCGAAGACTCCAATATTTTGTAAGCAGAAATGACTTCTCTCTGCAATCTTCCTGAAATTCATTTTCTTACCAATTTATTTTCTCTACTCCACTTAAGAAACTATTATTGCATAGACATTTTCTAGCAAAACTGCAAAAATTCAAATATTAATTTGTATTTTCCTCTGTGAACAGCTATAGTTTTAATGTACTCCAGGCCAAAATCAACACTGACTCTAAGTTATTTGAGAGATGATGCAAATGGTTTTCTCCTCCTATTCTCCAAACCTATTTTTACCTTCTCCAGTCTTTCAAAATACTCCCGGAGGAACCCCATGGGTCTCTCAGGCCGCACTGTACATAGCTGGACGATGCAATCCTTCAAGAGTTGCTGGATATTGTGTTTTTGCACATACTGTTCACATTCACGGAGGCTGCGCTCCTCTTCACTGCTGGTGCTGGTAGACGTTGCCATTGCTGCTATCTAAAAGAAACAATGCATTTAAAAAACCTTTAAAAAGATGTCCTACTGCTTTGGTAGCAATATTATTGCACTCATATTTTTTAGCAAACACAGCAAACATACACTCTAACTTGTTTACAGCTAATGAGCAACAAAGGAAACATGAGGCACTTCCAAAATAAATTCATGTTCAGTACTTCTGTCTATGCCCTTAGCCACCAGTAATTAAGAAAACCATAAGAGAAGAAATAAGCAAAGATATATATTCAGTTACCTTACAAGTATCACTATCTTCCAGCCATACATACCAGCTAACATAATAAACCAAAGTAAAAATAAAATATTGCATTTAAATGCCTGTTTCTTCTCTGAAAACAGAGTTACCAAAATAGATAAATAAACATTCCATAATGCGTTATATCACTTATGAAAATAAGGTTTTGTGAAACTGAGAATGCATTTTCCAACTGTACAACACTTACTTGAGATACAGCTAACAGGAACAACTACAGGTATGCACAGAATTTAAAGGAGAGGATGTTGATCCCAGTATCACCTTTCAAGAAGGAAGGAAGAAGGAAGAAAGTGAATAACTTAAACTCCCAAGTGTTACTGTCCTATTAATACATGCTTTCCTAGGTGACATATTTAGACACACTGCACATATGGCAATACACTTGTGATAACAAACATATGCCTCTAATTTCTGTTACTGAGGGTTATACAAGGACTAAAGACAATGCTGAATTGCCCATTCCACTCCAAACACATTGCATTATTGTCAACTAATCTGTAGTGTAAAGGTTACAGTACACCAAAACTGCACATTACACCCTAAACCCATTGCATTTTGTTATGGGTAATCATTGCAAAAAAGTCTAAAGGTTGCACTACACCTGTTTATGATCAGACAGTACACACATGCCCATGTGGCATTCACACTGAGTTGCTTGAAGTTCTACAGTTACCCCTTTTGTTTTGACAACTTGCATAACGAAGGTTCATAATAAATTCCTTAATTAACTGCCCCAAAGTAATTCCATGGCTTCATGATAGCCTGCACATTTGTCTGTGGAAAAAACATTCACACTGCTGATAGCAAACATCAAATATCACTGCTCAAACACCACTGCTAAAGTACCATACAAGAAGAGTCTCTCGAATAGATAACCTCAGTTCTGCAAAGCATGCTACTTAGCAAAGTAAGTCTCTACCACAGACAGTTACTGAATTTCTTTTAACGAGGGCAAAACCAAATATTTTTGCAGCCTGATACCATCACCAACTGGAACGTAATATCTGATGCAGAACTTTGCATTTCTACCAGTCTTCCCAATGTGAAGGGGAAAAATACAAGTAAATTCCACATCCAAGATCACTGATAGGTTCTGAAAGCACTGCCTTTGACAAGGAAAACCAAGCCAGGAGTCCTCGTGCAATTCCTTTGTAAACATACTTGTAGTCATGTTTAAACGTCAAGCAAATAACAATCTGGTTGCAAGTTAGTTGACAAAGTGGAAAGGGGTCCTATGGTTTTACTGAAACACCAGATACAGTATAATCAATGCAACACCTAAAAACTTGCTTATCACTGCATTTGCCATTTACAGCATCTCTGAATCAGTCAACCCTATCTTCTTTCAAATTTCCTTCCTTTTACATTCATACCCAGGAAAGTCCTACAATTCCTGGTAGAAACATAGCTCATTTAGACCTAGTATCTGCAGGAAAGGAAGATGCAGACATTCAAGAACTCACAATTCCTGTGACTACTTCAAAAGTAGATTTTTTTTAAAAAAACCATCTCTCCCTCTCCATCCACCCTAACTCACAATTCCTGTGACTACTTCAAAAGTAGATTTAAAAAAAAAAAAAACCATCTCTCCCTCTTCATCCAACCTAGACAAGAAATAATATTCAAATCTCTCTTCTCCTTCCCATCACACATAATATGAAATATACTGGAAGACCCATATAATGAATTTTTATGACAGAAAGAACAGGTCCATTTAAAGCAATACTGAGCAATCTTCAACTGTACTTCAGTCCATGTCTTTATTACTGATACTAATCCCATCCCCATTTCTCCCTTGCTTGTTTATTAAGTAGCTCCATTCCCAACCCAATCCTGCTTCCCTGGAATAAAGTTATACCTCAGATCAACCATCTTCTTTCCACTAGGAGGACTCACCCTCCCGCACACGTACATGCAACCCCTCGCTTAGACGGTTCAGGAGCACTGAAAACGCTTCCCCAGCCCTGCTTCCAGGATTTTGCACTCCCGGGAAGAAGGAAAGGCCTCAACAACACCTTTAAACCAAAGGATTTTCTCTCTGCCTACATGGCGTCACCCTCCACGTACACCCTTCTCGTCCTGCAGCTACGTGATCCAGGAGCCCCTCGGCCCCGAATCGGCTCTCCGCACACCTCTAGCCCGGACTCCCTTCCCACTCCTGAAGAATCATGGAGTACCGTCCCCTCTCCACCCGGCCTGGCCTGCCCTGCCCCGCCCCACCCCCTGGGCAGGGTACTTTGAAACAGAAGGTGCCCGCCCCAAAATCTCCACCGCCGCTCCC